TAATTACCATTTTATCTACAATTTTTTTTTTTTTAAATGATTATGTATAGTGGGAAACATTATGGTGCACATCCTTCAAAGGATGTTTACCATATACACTTTATAATTAAAAAACATTATATAATTTTAATTTGTTGAGTTATAACTAAAAAATATATGTATTATAACTAAACACAATATGAGACATAATTAAAAAACTCATGAGCCATAACTAAAATAATGCCATAATTAAAGAAGAAAATAGCATAACTAGGGATGCATATGATACATCATTTTCAAAGGGATATATATTAAAATTCGGTGGTGCTACATGCACCAATTAATGTATATATTAGTGTACCAACTTGTGTTATGCCATCATTACTGACCCCACCTATTAAACAAATTACAAATACTCAAAACTTTTAAAATTATGACACATCATCTGTTAGTATACTAGTTAATATATTAATTGGTACATATAACATTATTCATTAAAATTTCCCATACATTAATACTATATACTCTTAAAAATTAACTCAAAAAATAGATTTATATATCTCATTCATTCCAAGTATGACTCGTATTAAATTAACTTTGAATTTACATTATACACTTTTAAGGTAAGACTTTGTATAAATAATTTTTTTTTCTATATATGAAGGGTCCTAATTTTAATATTTTGCTTTAGGCCCCGAACATCTCAAGGCCGACTCTAACCTATTACATAAAAGGATTTGACTTTTTTCATGTTCACATCTCAACATGAATTGAAGGGGCTCATGGAATCTACCATGGGTCTGTTTCTTGATTTGAATCGTTTATTTGTATAGCCCTCAATGTATAATATTCATAATCTTAACGTTTTCATATTATAACATTTATCTTTGAAAAAATGGTCGACAAATACATTTTAAAAAATAGACCATTTTTTTTTTAGAGACAAATAAAATAAAATGAAAAACTTATAATTATCAAATTGATATAAAATTTTTAGTAATGCTAGTGACCCAAATATTTTACCAACATTTATACTAAATGTCTCACATGCGTGAGTCCCACACCCATATAAAACATTTAGTAAAAATATTAGTAAAACATTTAGAGTCTCTAGTATTTTAAAATTTTTCATGGGATAACATATTGAAAATCTTATAAAGTAAATAATTTCGATTATCGAAATGAATGTCACGATAAACCATAAATTCTTCAAATTTTCTTAAATTAACATGTGAATATGGGAGAAATAAATCATGTATCATAAAATGCATGATGTAGTTTGAAATTTTTGCTTTGCAGTAGGGTCGTCCACAGCATATCATACCCTCAATATCATCCATTGAATGTCACCATGAGCACCATAGTGGGTCCACACAAACGTATTTACACTTTTATCTACTAGTATGAACACATTTAAAACCTCTAGATTTAGATTTTGGATTATCTTAGAAAGATGATTATAGTATGAACACATTTAAAACCTCTATATTTAAATTTTGGACTATCTTAAAAAGATGGTTTTAATCATTTTTCTGATTAAAAATTATTTATAAGTAATTGTTTTTTAAGAAAAAAAGTGAGTTATAATCTGATAAATGAATTATAATTTAAACCTCTAAATTTTATAATCAAAGACATATCTCCTTGCACTCGGGCCCACCATAAACACCCTCACATCAGACTAAATCATACGTAAAATCCCGACAGTATCTGAATCAGACGATTAGAACCATGAATAAAGCTTGGGACCCCAGTGGGGGGGTGCTGGGGTCCTTTGTGATTGGTTGAAAAACTGTTTTTTTTTTTTTTCTTTGTTTTTGTCCATTGGCAGCCCCCCATGTGGCACTGGGGGTGCTCGGGGTGCCAAAATGCTGGGGGTCTCTAGCATTTCCGCAGAACCATTCCTATAAAATCCTGCTCGTGAGGGCGACCACTCCTTAACATCTTCCCTAAATTAAGGGGTTGTTTGGGATGACCTAAATAAGTGTACTTTTTATCTTTTTACGAAAAGATGTGCAAAAAAATAGAGAGGTGATGTGATGAAAAAAAGATAAAAAGATGAATTATTTTTGGGTTGCCAAACTTGACCTAAATACTAGCAACAAAATGCACTGTCAATCTGTTTCCTTCAAATTTTGTTTTTGAATTTTCATTTTCATTTCCATTTTTGGTTTTTTTTTTTTGTTGGTAAGGTTGGTCTCCAGGCCGATTTTAAATTCAACAGTGCTTCCGACCCCCAATTGGGGGCACCCTCTAGTGCCATGTGACAGCCTGCCACTGGCTGAAACCCAAAAAAAAAAAAAAACGATTTTTTTGGCCAATCAGGGAAGACCCCCAACATCCCACTGGGGGTCTAAGTCATTTTTCTTTTAAATTGGATTGCAGTGTTAGACTAGGCCCATCATGGCACTATATTAATAATTCAAACTATTTGATGTGTAAAATTTATCAAGTATTTTATCATTGTAAAAAAATATATTGATCGGATATCGATTGCAACTTGACGAGATCACATTTATGTTGACAATTTTTTTAAAAAATTATACTGAACGTTGACAAAAATGTAATCTGATCAAATAGTTATTGATATCTGATCAACGTAATTTTTTACAAATATGAAATATTTGACAAGCTTTACATATTACACAATTCGAATCATGGATACGAATTTCGTAGTGAGCCGATGGGACCTAACAAAATACAGTACAATCCGATTATGGACGGGACACAAGCTTTTTTTTTTCTTCCAATTTTTAGTGAATTAATTTTTTTAATTTAGCTAATTTTTTTTAATTTTTAAATGTATCTAATTTAGACAAGCATAAAAACTCTGCTCTGTTTAGTTGGATTTCTTCATATATATTTTAATCAATTTTAATACATTTTAAATATATAAAAAAATTGACTATAATATATAAAAAAAAAATTAGGGATTTTTTTTTGATCGGGCATTTTTTAAGGTCCTTAATATTAAGATTTTATAGCATAAATGACACCTAATATTTTCATAATATCTAAGAGCATCTCCAACGGTTACTCAAATTTTTCATCAAATTTGAGTAAAAAATGGCTCATTTTTCCAATTTGAAATCAGCTGCTCCAACAGTGAACTTTCATCAAATCTGCGCCGGGACAATCGGTTGGTGGACCGGTCGGTCGACCGGTAATGGCAAATTTTTATTTATTTTATTTTATTTTTTTGAATTGTTTGAACTTTTTTTTTGAACTGTTTGAACCTTTTAGTGGTCAACCGGCCTGTCGACCGATAAGGCAATTTTTTTTTTTTTAATTGTTTGAACCTATAAACTTTGAACTGTTTGAACCTTTTAGTGGTCGATCGGTTGGTCTCCCCCAACGGTAACAAACAGTGATTTGCTGAAATCAGTATTTTGTCCTCGCTTTGATGAATTGTTTGGTGAATTCTCAATTTGTTATCGATTTGGTGCAACCGTTGGAGCACCAAATAGTAACTTTTTCACCAAAATTTAAATTTGATGCCAGGTTTGGTGAAGCGTTGAAGATGGTCTAAGGTCCCTCAATGTCAATCCAGAGAAAATTTAAATTCAGAGAAAATTTCAATCCAGAGAAAATTTCAATCCAGAGAAAATTTCAATATAAAGAAAATTGAACATTTCAATCCAGATAAAATTTCAATCTAGAGAAAATTGAGTTATTCAAACACCAAAAATAAAGACAAATAGAAACCAATTCTATAAGTTTCAGAACCATAAAACTTGTTAGGCCAAGTCTTCAATGACATTTGAAATTTCAATATTCAGATTTGAAGAAGACACATTATTGACTTCAATCTTCAAATCTCTTGAAATGTTTGCAAATTTTCCACTGTCATCGACAAAGGTCTTGGGGAAAAATCACTTACCATGAACATCAATCCAAGCAATCAAACTGTGGTTCCCACTCTCCAAATCAATCTGCAACATTCAATAAAAATCGAACAAGCAACAAACTCCCCTAATTTGAACTCCGATTTTTCTTCCACAAACCCTGATCGGAGTGAATCAACGATTTTGGAAGTGAAATCAACCCATAATTCATCATCGGTTGGTGGCTCAGATCGCGGGGGTCAGGCTCAGATCACGGCATTCCGGCGATGGCGTGGTAGAGACATGGGCAAAGGTGAAGCCAGCGACGTCGGAGATGAATACCGAGATAGGAGAAATGAACAGAGAGAAAGAGAGAGGAATGTGCACAAAAAGAGAGGGTTTGGTTTGGATGGAATAAAGATCGAAGAGAGAGAGAGAGAGAGAAAGTCAAATGTCTCTGATATGATATACGGGTGTGGGTTTAGAGACCTTAGATATCAAAAAATAATATTGTGGATCTCTTTCATTATTAAAAATAGGAAATGAACCTTAAACTAATTTTTCCTAAAAAAATCACAAAAAACCAAACGAAAAATCTAAATAAAATCCTAAACACTAAATCTTAAATCTTAAACAAATGAAAACCTAAACAATGATTTGATTTTCATTTGTTTTTAATAGGGTTGTCAAACGAATCAAACTATTCAAACTTGGTTTGTGTTTAATTCGTTAAAAATTCGTTTCAGATTGTTTTGTTATATAAATAAGTTAAACTCGTTAAATTTTCAAATCAAACTTAAACAATGTACTGCTCAGCTTGATAAACGTATTTGTACTATAAAAAATTAAGTTACTCGGACTCAACTCAAGTTTGACTTATTAAAAACTCGTTTGAAATCAATTTATTTTATAAATAAAGTCAAATTCAAACATAATTTTAAACGCGGCTTGTTTTTAACATATCTAAAAAGAAAAAAAAATTAAAATATAGTATCAAAAAAAAGTTAATCAAAACAAACAAAACTTGTCAGTTTCTAAAAAATTAAACCAAATAAAATCTAAAATATTTATGAAAAGTTTTTCAAAAAAAGTTTATTAAAATGCATAAGTATACGAAAAAAATTGTTTAAATTGTTTATTTATTTTTTCATTTTTTTTAAAAAAAGGCAGAGTACTTTTCTCGCTCTCTGTTCGTTGTTTTCTACTATAAGTCGCAAATCTCTCTGTGTTCTTTTTCTGAGCTGCAATCTCTCTCTCTAGAACTGTAAACTTTCTCTCTCTAGCTGTGTATATAAATACATGAGCATTTGCGCATTTGTGATTGTGAGCGAATCAAAGCCCTAGAGTTCTCTCTCCGATCCAGTTCAATGGTCCGCTATACAAATTCACAATCGGAGAGCTCGATTTTCCGATCTGAGCTGGTTCCCCGACTATTTCGAGGTCTGCGAAGCCATTGAAGTTGAGTGTGAGTTCTAGAGAGAGAGTAGAGAGAGATGTATAAGAATCAGTTGCAGGAATTGGCGCAGCGGAGCTGCTTCAATTTGCCTTCGTATACGTGCATAAGAGAAGGTCCAGATCACGCGCCGAGGTTCAAGGCGGTTGTGAATTTCAACTGCGAGACCTTCGAGAGCCCTAGCTTCTGCACCACGCTCAGGCAGGCGGAGCACGCCGCCGCCGAGGTGGCTCTCAATGCGCTCTCCAGCCGTGCTCCGTCGCATTCTCTCGCCGCCAGGATTCTTGTGAGTGTGTTTGTTTGATTTTGAGTTTGGCATTAGGGTTTCTTCGTAGTTCCGTTTGAATTTTCGTTTGTTTTGCTTCGGTGGTGATTAGGTGTAGCAATGAGAAGTGAATTTGTGATCAAATTTAGTAACAAATGTTATGCTAGTGTAAGACCATCTCCAATTTTGTCATCTAGTTTGATTCCGAATTTGAGTAAAAAATTGATTTGATATGAATTACTTCAATCCTTTCATCAAAATCTTTTTCAAAATTCTCCACTTATCCCAAATTTGCCTTTTCGTCAAATTGTATTTAAAAAAAAAAATCATCTCCAATGCTCCATCGTTTTAAATTTTCATTTGATGAAGGATTTGATGAGTTCTCAATTTGATGGAAAAAAAAATAAAAAATCACTCTCCATTGATTTAATAAACATTTGATGACAGGATTAGAGATGATTTTTGAGTACGTTTTAATCAAACTTAAATTTGATGAAAGAAAAGATAAAGGTTTAGAGATGCTCTAACCATTGTTCTAGTGAAGTTGTGTGCTATACTGATCTGTTGAATTGTGCTGGAGTTGATTTTGGAATCGGGATAATCTTAGAAGAGGATTAATTGAATAGTTTTTGTAGCAGAATAATGGTAATGGACTAGTTCCGTTTTGAGAATTGTATTGATATAGGCCAAAACAAAATTGGTTGGATAAGCATCTCCAATCCTTTCATCTATTTTTTCATCAAATTCAAATTTGACGAAAAAAATTACTGAAAGTGTGCTCCATGTTCCAAACATTTCATTAATTTTGTATCAAATCAAGGGAGAGACAAATTTTCAACAGTCATATTTTTACTCAAATTTGATGAAATTTAAAAAGTAAGGATCGGATATGGTTTTTTTCATCAAAAATGGTTAAAACTGATTTTTACGATAAGTTTGAAATTTTTCAAAATGATTTGATGAAAAAAAAAGAGAATAAGAATTGAAGTGTTTCATATTTTAACCAAGTTTTCACTCAAATTTGATGAAAAAATAGAGTAAGGTTTGGAGATGCTCAGGGAGGGTTCTGCTTATGCAACCAACAAGAGATGCCTTACAAGGCAGAAGAAATTTGCATACAGGTTCTGCACGCTGACACTTAAAATTAATTAATTATTTTCTTTCTTCTACACTTGTGCTCGTACCAAGATTATAAGGACTTATTTATCCCCAGACCCTTCTTACTTATCTACCCCTTGTGAGAGGCTTGATTGTTAAGACAAATCTAGCCCCAATGTTGATTTGATCCCAAAGTTGATTCTCCAATAAATTAAGAAGGGTGCTTTTGCCTTCTTTCCATAATTTAAGTTTCTCTACCCTCTACTCTGCTTCTTGTGATACATATCTTTAATCGAGAATAACAATTTAGTTTATATGTATTTCTTCTTGTCGAGAAAGAAAAGGTACTCTGACCTTAGTATCCATACTCAGGTGTGGGCAGTACTTGTTTGAACAATGAACAAATTATCATGTTCTGGACTGTATCCATGTCTGTGCTGGCCAAGTGAAATTTCTAGACAAACATGGCTTGTCCAGAATGTAGTACTCAATATTATTCTGCAACATGTATATGTGTATAATGTATTGCTGATACATATTTACACTGTATATGAGAATCTGAACCTGATATTGGTTGGGCAAATTTTTCCACCATAAAAATAGTATTTAAAATCACAGTTAGGCCTCGTTTGGCAAGTGCCCCTTTTAGCCAAAAAGTCAAAAAGTTACTAAAAAAACCAAAAAGCCAACAACCCATATCAAAAAGTCAAAGATTCTCTTTTCTCTCTACTTTTTGCACATCTTTTCTTAAAAAGCCAAAAAATAATCCCAAACATACTAGTTTTTTTTACATCACATTTTAGCTAAAAAGCCAAAAAGTTACTAAAAAAGTATGTTCCCAAACGAGGCCTTAGTATATTTTGATTGAACTAATGATGGACTATGGTGCTCCCTGAAAATGCTTATGCATGGATATATCTTATGTCTCTCTCTATGATTAACAATCTATTTCCCACCAAAAAAATGATTAACACGGTATACCCATTAGTGGCCAGGTCTAAGACGAAATAGTTTATGTTGTAGGATGATACCATTGGAAGTTTCAGCAGAATTTTGTCTCGTATTATTATTCAATGCTGAATGCAGTTATTTAATTTCGTCAACAACATGTTTAATTTACCATTTTCTTACTTTCCTATTGCTATTCTGGTAGTGAACTCTCTCTAACCTAACCAAAATTTTCTATTGACAGGATGATACAGGGGTCTACAAGAATCTTCTGCAAGAAATTTCACAAAGAGTAGGATCATCTTTGCCAATATACACAACTTTCCGATCGGGTGTTGGACACCTATCTGTCTTCAGTTGTACTGTTGAGTTGGCTGGTGTCAGATTTACTGGTGAACCAGCAAAGAACAAGAAACAAGCTGAAAAGAATGCTGCTATGGCAGCTTGGTCATCTCTGAAACTACGTAAGTCCTCCATACTAGTGTAGAAATTAGAAAATTAGTCACAAGAGATAGATTGTAAAGGATTTTATACATATGAGTGGTTAAAATCAGTTTTTCCCCACAATTATAGATGTGAGAAAACATACCATTGTAAAAAACCAATTGTGCAATTCTTACTGTTGTTGTCCAAGTATTTATGCTATCTACATGTCCTTACATAGCCTTGAACCGGCGTTGGTCATACCCTTGACAAAGCCAGCCCTTTTTATGCTCCAAATGTGATGGATTATAAATCATCGCTAAGCTAGTTGTCACCTTCCCAGTCCCATTACCACGTTTGTGCTGTAAATATGCCGTTTCTAGCTAGTTTTGAATAAAAGCATAATGGGATTAACATACTTTTTTTTGTTGTCTGTCCAGTAGCACAGCAATCTGAGAGTTCATCATCACAAAAGGTGAATAAGGATGTGCACGAGCATGTCATCATAGCATGTTCTCTGCAGAATTTTATCAGGAAGGCAAAGATGTCTAATGCATCCTTCCCAATTAAATTTCCAACACAGAGTCCAAGGCCATTGAGCACAAAACCACCTCCTATTAGGGCATCGAAGATCCTTCCTTTAATATGGTCCAAGACTGCTCCTCGGAGCAGACCTGTTATTACACCCATAAACAACAACCCTATGTGTTCAAAGACAGCCCCTCAAAGCAGACCTGTGATGACAACAATGAATGAGAGGCCCATATGCCCAAGGGCATCGCCTGAAACCCAACCCATAATTACAACAGCAAATGATGCCCCTCTACAATCACCTGAAATCCCTAGGGTCCGACCTCAGCAGTTCCATGCAGCTGGAGCAGCACCCTACATTCCTGTCCGGCATCTTAGGGCACACCGTGGAATTGCACCACCAGTGACGATAAGAAACGCGATACCTGTTTTCTCTACACCACCACTTCCTCCACCAAGCCAGTCCCCACAATTGAGGTCTCCATTGTCATTTATTGCCCCATCTGTCTGTATAAGGCAGACAGTACCAGCTTTTGCTGTTCCACCAGTTCGTGTAGAGGAGCAACATGTTTCTACTGCTCCTCCCACCCCACAAGCCAGCTCTTCAGTGCAGATAGAGAAGACAGGGAATTCCATCCAGGACAACCAGTCATTTATGGCCCCACAATTGAGGTCTCCATTGTCATTTATTGCCCCATCTGTCTGTATGAGGCAGACAGTACCAACTTTTGCTGTTCCACCAGTTCGTGTAGAGGAGCAACATGTTTCTACCGCTCCTCCCACCCCACAAGCCAGCTCTTCAGTGCAGATAGAGAAGACAGAGAATTCCATCCAGGACAACCAGTCATTTATTGCCCCACAATTGAGGTCTCCGTTGTCATTTATTGCCCCATCTGTCTGTACAAGGCAGACAGTACCAACTTTTGCCGCTCCACCAGTTCTTGTAGAAAAGCAACATGTTTCTACCGCTCCTCCCACCCCACAAGCCAGCTCCTCAGTGCAGATAGAGAAGACACAGAATTCCATCCAGGACAACCAGGAAAAATCTGTGGTGATACAGGGCTTGCAAGAGCTGAAGATTTGATAGCAGGCTGAGGTTTCAAATTGCAAGAACTGTTATTAAGGTTTGTACTACCTTATATATATATATATATTCTTGAGTTACATTTATAGTCAGTTTTTTTCGGCAAAAACTATTTTTTCAAAAAATGTTTTCGTAGGAAATGTTTTCTATGTTTAGTTGCAACCTTGAAACTAATGTGTTATGGTTGGATTGGTGGTGGTGGTGGAGGTGATTGGATTGGTAAAATTTTAGTCCGGAAAATGTATCCCAGTAAAGCTTGCTTCAGTTGATTATGGAAAACGTTTTATGTTGACTTTTGTTTTCCGTTGTACCAAATGTCAGAAGATGTAAACCTTTTCTAAAAAATATTTTCCGCCAAAACAAAGGGAGTGTTAGGTTTGGTTTTCTTCTTCAATCTTCTTCTGTTAGGAAGAACTGTGGGATTCATCCCATTAGGCCAAGTGTCTTTGAGCTCTTGGAATTGCCCACCCCAGGAAATGCTTATTGAACTCGCCCAAATACAGAATGACTTTGGTGGGTATCTGGGAATAGTACCACCAGAATTTGAACCCTATGGCCATGTTTGTTTGGGTGGACATGAGTTTGGGATTGGACTAATAGTCCAATAAAATTATTAATCCGATGTTTGGTTAAACAATTAAAGTACGGACTAATTATTTTAAATTTGACTATTAGTTAAGATAGGATACATAATCCAACGGATTCGTAATCCTAGGACTATTAGTCATGGGAATGTTAGTCCAGTCCGCCCAAACAAACATGGCCTATATGTATAATACAGACAGATGAAGATAAATGAGAAATTGAAAACTGTAGTGGCTTTCTGTTGACTCCTATTGGGGTTCGACTGCAATTACCACCATGATTGCCCTCACCAAACCTTTGGTTTGAGTAAATTATTTCCTAGTTTTGTCGAGTAAACACAACGCTGCATTTGCATTAAGAGTCTCTAGAACATAGTTAGCAGTTACTATATTTATGGTCTGTTTGAAATTTATGCAGAGAAATGTGGCATGAGACTTGAAAGTTTTCAGTCCAGTCAAGGGGCTTCCTGAGATGTGCACTGTTTAACCGTTCATCACCCGACTAAAACAATATGACACCGAGTGTAGGAGGGTCCAAGCTTGGAGCATGGATGCAGTTGAGAAGAATACTCTAATTCCAGACCTGTCCGGTTGCTTTTCTTTAACAATAGTTGCTGATCTGAAGATACCAACTTCGTGCATGGCCTATTGGTGATGATTCAACATGCTTGGATTCAAGTGCCCAGTGGAGCTTGAGTTTTGTTTTCACCCTTTCTCTGCCTTTTCTTTCCTTTTTTTTTGGGGAATGCTTTTCATTACCATGGGGGATGAAATATAGAACAGAGTTGCTAGAGTATTGTTTCTTGATTTGGCAGAAAGTAACATGGTTTTCTTATCTTTGTTTAGTCTCTTCTATCAGCTGTATGTGTATATATGGTTCTTAATGCTTTTCATTACCATGTAACCGTATTTATAGAACAGAGTTGCTAGAGTATTGTTTCTTGATTTGGCAGAAAGTAACATGGTTTTCTTGTCTTTGTTTAGTCTCTTCTATCAGCTGTATGTGTATATATGGTTCTTAATGCTTTTCATTACCATGTAACCATATTGGTCTGTCATTCTCATCATCATCTTCCTTTTCATCAACCCCTCACTGAGGGCTAAGGCCATTAATTGGGACAATACAATACATAGAAGATTAGCATGACCCGCAAAGATGAAAATTATGACACACCAACACTTGTTTGAATTGCGTGGTGAGAAAATATGAGAAATGATTCAAGGTTTTACTTTATAATACCAATTTTTGAGCTTTGAACTACTTGGGCCTAGAGCCGACACATGCGATATACAAATAGGGAGATCAAGTTTCTTCTTCAAATCCTTTTGGTGTTCTAGCTTATAAATTAGTTTATTTGATTTTTTTAAAAAGGGCAAATTACATATACTTCTCTTGACGTTTAGTTAAATTATAGATACTTCTGAGGTTTTAGAAATTACAGATACCCCTGAGATTTATATTTTCATAACAAATTGCCTCCTAATTTGTTATGCAAATATGACCTTCAGGGAATATTTATAATTTTTCAAACTTCAAGGGTATCTATAATTTTGCTAAATCTTGAGGGGTATATATAATTTGCTCTTTTAAAAAACTTAATGAGTTTAAAAAATATTTTATTTACCTCATATCAAAAGGTTTGTCAAAAAAAAAATATAATAATCAATTTATTATTTTCTTAAAATAGCCACAAATTTTTTTTAAAAAATAAGCTTATTTAGCCAAATAAAATCTTTATTTTGAATTTTTTGGGTAAATTACAAACACCCCCTCGAGATTTGGTAAAAATGCAAATTCTCTCCTGAAGTTTGAGAAATTACACATTGCCCCCCAAGGTCAAATTTTCATAACAAATTAAAAAAAATTAAGGAAAAATATGTATGAAAATAAAAACCTCAGAGAACAATTTGTTATGAAAATATAAACCTCAGGGGGTGAGATGTAATTTCTCAAACCTCATCAGATAATCTATATGTTTACCAAACCTCAAAGGGAGTGTTTGCAATTTACCCTTGATTTTTCACTAAAAAATCAAAAAATTAACAAACGTAAATTGGTTTATAATTTGACAAATAAATTGCAACTAAAGGAACCCTACATGTCCGTAAAGACAACAACATTTACAACAAAAAAAAAATAGAATACATAGTTATATTTGTGAAGATGAAGTCACAAGAAAGCTCATGATATCTGCACATCTACAACCTCAAAATGTGCAAATCATACCCTGGGGTGGTAAAATTAAGCAGGAACAAGCTAGCAATGCTTTACAATACTTCGATTGAATAATTGAGTTTAGTCTTTGCCAAAATTCACCTGTAAAACACTCTTCAAAACAATTCCATCTACTAAAAAGCAAAAGCAAAAAAATAAAAATAAGCAACAAGGGATAGAAGACATTTTTGCAACTAAACTAATAATAGAAGAAAGAAAACTGATTAGGTATTTGCAACAAGCATTTCTGTACAGAATATACATATATCGCAAACCTGGTAATCTAACACAAAATATACAGCCAGAAAGCTACCAAGCTAACATGAAGAAGAGGTCATAAATGCTGTCGAGAACTAGAAGACACCATGCAACAGCTAAAACTATCAGGACCGTATATGGTTAAACAACACTTTACAGAACAAACAAGAATTCAGCATATCATGAAGAGAAGGCAGTTTCCATTGCTTGGAATATCAAATTGGTATCGAACCGGAAATTTCTGAAGCTTTTTCCTGGAACCATCATGTCAGAGGAAGGAGCCTCGACTACAGGTTTAGTTTGTTGAATCTCTGTTACCATTGAGCTGCTCCCTGTGGAACTGTTCTTCGCCTTCCATACACTAATTCCTTCACAAAATAAACAAGGATCCTTAGCCAATTGAATCAAAGGCAAGATAAATCCTCGTTCAGTTTTGTTTTTGAAAACTGTTTTTGAGTTTTTTATTGTGTTTCACACTTAACTGAACTTTTTTTCCTTTTTTTTTTTTTTTAACATTGTAGTCATTTTTATAATAAAAAAAAATCTTTTTAGATATAATATAACTAATCTAAACAACTCGTCTAGAAGAAAAAAAACTCAATGAAAAACAAAATAATAGCACGCTACCATTTTTTTGGTCTTCAGTAATAAAAGAAAAAAAAATTCAAATTTCTTTGTAAATATATTACTTTTTAGGTTTATCTAGATTAGGTACATCTAAAAGTTTTTAAAAAAATAACTAAAATATGAAAAAAAAAATCACTAAAGACACCAAAACCAAAAAAACAAAAAATTCAAAAACTAAACCAAACTTGAACAAAATATCACGTGCAACCTCCCTGATTATGCCAGGAATCCAAACATGCAAATGCAAAAATAAGACTGCCCACTTTGGTGCCTAACTCTATATGAAATTTTGGTCAAACATCCATCCAAACATACATATGTGTGCCTAACTATATAGGGTTTTAATTATTGGCCGTTGTATTCGTAATGACATTTTAGCAATCCAAATATTCACGGATATATCGGCTGATACAATTCAATACTATCCGATATCAGCCAATATATGACCATATCACCGATGACACCTACCGATACATATCCCAATACCATCCCAAGTCACTGAAAATAGATTTTTTACTCCAAAATAAAGTCTCAATGACAGTAAATTGAGTATTATTCAATATCTATGCAACATTTTATGTTGCAGGCACATTTTCATTTATGTTTTCTTATATTTTAACAATTTACTTGTGTGTGGACAATTGTAGGTACATGGATTTGGATTTCCTAGTTACTGAGCCAGAGGCATGTAAAATAATTGGAAGACAGAAAGATTCGGCATTTCCATTTAAGGAAAAAGGAGATGACAAACCTTTCAAACGCATATGAGATTTTGGCGCTACTGGGGGCTGGTGTGCTGAAATCCATGCTTCCAAAGATCTGAAATAACAAAGCGGATCATTATAAAAACATTGGCAACAAAGAAAAAACTGCAAGATAGTTTATAGAAATAAGTGACAAGACACTTACGCCAAGAAAGGAGCAACCATGTAGAGCTTCAGGCCAGTTATCCCACGAGATATTACATCATTATTTGCAGGTTGAAGTTCATCAAGCCGATGCCATGCAATTTCCTGCGAGCGTGCAAAGCCCATTCCAAATGTTATACATACCGCCAAAAGTACGCATACGGATTCAATTATGAAACAATATACTACAGACTTTTGCATTCTTTCTTTCACTTTAGAAACAGATTAGGGTAGTAAAACTATTCTACATACATGAAACAAACAACATAAGAAATGAGTTCAACAACCGTAGAACATCAACATAAGTGATATAAGAAGAAAATTATGTGACTAACTCAGGGCCCAGAAATCACAACCTATGATATTATGTACCATATGATGGTAACATACTTGAGAGAGCAAGGTAATCATTTGTTGACTTCTCAATTTCTCATTTGTAGTTCAATGAACTTTATTTTCTTAAATTATCTGGTGATCTCTTGTGATCTCTAACAAGTTGAGGCCGAAGCAAAGGAATTTATTAGATTCCAGGTCGATGAGAGGACCCACAATCATCTATCTTTAAGAAAGATTTGAAACCGGAGCCTCTGAACAAGGCCAACAAATGGGCAGCACCTGCGTAAGAGCGTGACTACTCGTCTAGGGCACAATCCAAACATGGGGTTCTAAAATTTCCACAATAGCAATTGTTTGGAATCCAAGAGCGGTCGGCAATGGCCCCACACATAGACGTCTTGGCAATCTTGCTTGGATCAAGCGTTAGTCTTTGGTTTTCATCCTGGAACCAATGGTCAAAGGGCCAACTATGTATCAAAATGGAAGTAGAGATTGTGTACGGATGAATGTCAAACATCTTGGTCTTTTGGAGAGAAGACGGAAGACTTGACCTGTCCATGATTGAAGGCTATGCTGAATTTATTTCTAACAATGCAACTAGCGGTGTGTACGGTGCGGTTTGAGAGTAAAATTATAAACCGACTGGCAAATTCGCGGATTGACGAATTGGCAAATTACGATTTAAGCAGTTTTGAGTGGATTAACGGATTGAAGAATATTCTAACCAATTATGAAGCCTTTGCATAATATATAACACAAACTAATAAATTTCGCATATTAAATCTCTCTCTCTCATTTTACTTTGATATTTTAATATAGGTTAAAAAATATACATGTATTAACTATAACGGACAGAGTGGTTTCGAAGGCGGATTATAAATTTTAAAGTTTAAACCGCAGTTAGCGGATAGAGCAATTAGTGGATAGATATGGATCGGTGCGGTTTTAGCAAATTTGACGGTATTTTGCACAGCCCTAAATGCGACTATTAAATCATAAAATACTCTGGTATTCCTCTTTATAATTTCAATTCTATGGCTGCACAAGCAGGTCTTGCATTCAGGGTTGCCATAATTCCTAGCATTTTAGAAAATGAGCGTCCCTCCCTAGGTGTTAAAACCTTCAATGCAAGAAAGCCAGCACCTAATGCAAAATGAGATTCTTTTATACTACTAGTGTAAATACCAAGAAGTTGAAACTGCTCCAAAACTGTACAAGTGATCAAGTAAGGTGAATTACAATGGGATTTAGGTAACAATTTTACAAGCAGAAAGAAGAAGTTAAGAATTTGGGGTATTATGCTATACACCAACATAACAATACTAAATTAGCACTTCAGGAAAAATTTCTCTCTTGTGAAGAAAATAATACGCAAGAAGTCTGGACAGTTTTAGACGGAGAGAGACCACATACACTGATCTCTTTTTTGGTGAGGGGGGCAAATGTTGTATCATCTTTCACTCCAGCAACTATGTAGAGCCGCACCCTCTGCTGTCCAAATATCATCTCGATGTACTCGTCATTGTTTAAGAATTTTGAAACATCAAAACCAGTTTCCTCAAGGACCTGCCATTAAATGCAGAAGAAGTTAGAAAGCAGCATCAGAATCTATGCACACAAATGCTTTTTTTGGCAACCAAGTAGTATGAAGTTTTTTGAGATGTTTAGCAGTCAACGGCATATTCTATCAGGAAAATTATGGTTGGCGAATACTCCTTGGTTCTTAACTGCAATTCTCTTTTTAAAGGTTTGATCAATACCGAATTCCACGTACAGCGTGGTGAATGAAAGACAGTGGACCACAAAATGTAAAATTATTTTTGATCTTCAATAGGGGAAATGGGGAACTCATCTAACAGAGAATCATTCCGAAGTTATTCTAACACCAAAGACACTGGAAAACAAGCTCCACAAAGATGGTCTGGCTTTCTTATCAATTAAAGAAAGCTATGCCGGACACATTGTTTCTCACTTTGAATTAGTGGGAAAATTTTAGTTTTTGCATCAACTTAATCAAGTTGAACTCTTTCTGTCCACTGGTTACAAAAACTAGTGTTTGACATGAATTGCTAATTACTGTAAACATGTCACATTTAAGAATAGCATAAGAAACATTAATAATTACTTCTCTGACAGCACACGTGTGGTCTTCCTCATCTTTGTTCTTTTTCCCGCGGGGGAAACTCCAGCTTGTTCCCTTCCATCCCTTCACTAATAAGCACTGCAGATTGCACAAATTTAGCATATATAACACGTTAGGTCAGTGGCAGAATGGGAATGAAAAACATATATTACATGTTAAATAACTTTTTCATCCGAAATAAAGTGTAAATTTTATACCATAACCAACACAATACTATAACTAACACAATTAAGCTCCTAATGAAATCAATATTACCAAAACTGTGACCTACTACATTTTCAATTGAAGAACCTATAACTGGTAACTTTGTAATCCCTACCAAAACTGTGGCCTACTGCATTTTGTCTCATTCATATACATCAGCATTTAAATATGTCAAAAGATAATCATACTGCTAATCCCCCCCTCTCCAACCAAAAACTCTTCAATGTCTTCAAAGTAGTGGTTGATTCAATAGTCAGATTTATTCAAAACAAGATAGAACATGGACACTATGAGCTTGCCTATATATTATTCAATTGTTTATACAGATGAAAGAAATTAAACTACCAAAAAGAGACCTTCAACATTTTTCTCTCCCTCACAGTAATGCAAACCCAAAAACAGATACCCTGAATAATTGGTTTTTCTTTCTCTCTCTAAAAAGATATCTAAATTTTGGTTATGTCATTAACAAAGACCAAAAGTCAAGCAATCCTTATTTTGCATGCATAGTTGTATGAATGTCATTAGCTAATTGTGGGTGATGGTGATCAAGGTGTGTTCAGCAGTAAAGTTGCTCAGTTGGTAGAAACAAAGACAAATGGAGAGAGTGGTAGTGGTCTAGTGGCTTCAGAAGGTTTGGTCACAAAGACGAGGAAGGCAAATAAAGAATGGTTATGTGTAATTGTGGTGAGATTTTAAAAACCACAAAGGAAGTCTCTATAATTGTTAGAAACCTCAGGGGAGGTTGGTGTAATTAACCCTAAAAAATATTCAATCAATGGACAAAATAATTAGTTGACTCAAGTAGTAAACAAAAGTTTTGATCATTCTTAACAACAGGAAAATACGAAAGAATGTAAGGCTGTATTTCTAAAACCTAGGGGAAGATAAGTGAAATATGACCATTGATGCAACCATCAAAGTTTTCACCAAACCAAAGATTACAAAGCCATAAAAATGATAAAACAGAAACATCATCTCAACATAAAAGAGCAATTGCTATTAGAATTAACAATGTCCAAGCTTCATCCTGTACAGATCCCAAGCAACCATGTGAAATAAGTTGCTTACAAAGCTTTTTATTCCAATAATAAGCCACACTTGGTCCCTCTGTCTTTCTAAACCATGGACATTGTTTAGATGAGCAAGGAATTATCTTGTTGGGCCGGCAATACAAGTTTATTTGGTGCATGGATTTAGGAATATGACCTACTCATCTAAGATTTTCTATTGAAATATTTTGAGTTGTAACTACTTATAATTTCTAATTCCAGTAATATTTTTGTAGTTTGAATCTCCATTGTCCATCAATACTTCATGAACCCTGAAATATCCTTAGCTTCACTACAACAAAAAAATCCATTACCAGAGGTAATGAAAGTCATGAGCAATACATGAAGGGGAATGCATTGGTGTGCACGCCCATAGCTATATTGTACTATTTTAGAGAGTAGAGCTTTCCAACAACCAATTAATGATAAAGATTACCAAAAACATGTATCTCTGTTGTTGATCAACATTAGATGATGAGTAAGTTTAAAGTTACCAAACAAAAAAATAAATTTGTGCATTGCATTCATCATATGGTATCTACTGGCTTTCATGAACTAACACATTACCCGTTCGTACGACTCGTCCAAAATTATGGCCCCAGTCACAGGAACTCGAACCTTGTATGAAGTGAAGTCCTTAAATATGTCATCTATATGTGCAGCGTAAGGTCTCAAAACATCACAATTGTTAAACACTGCAATAAATTATGGAAAGAATCACCAGATAAGAAGATAGAAATGAAAGAACAAACATAAGCTCTAGAATGATAATTGAAATTCACAAGAAAACTAAGCAAGTAAACCCAAAAATATTAGCCTTCTCTAATGTACTAGAGTTGCACGCTTGATTTCATCACCATTTTAATACCAATTAAAGCCAATGACAACAACATAATACAAGGTAGAGTGCATGAATGTGTGCATGGTAATTTCATTCCCGCAACATAGAAACGGCAGTAAGTCAAGTACAAGTGCAAATACATTGAAACCAAGGATTCGATGAACAAGAATGTTATCAGAATGCGCTTTACTATTGTTTGTTGTTAAAAATACAAAAAGAAATAGACACTGCATAAGACACATAAAGAAGTAACTTGTTAAAAATACAATAGAAATAGACACTGCAGAAAAATACATAAAGAAGTGAACTCCTTCAGAGTGAATGATTTCAATGACGGATTGTTTTCCACTGAATTGTCCTCGTAGAACCAATGTGCATACTCCACAAGAAATAAAATCCTCTCAAATGATTGTTGATCCTCTTTCGGCACATTCAAAACAAACCGACTGCAATAAAAATAAGTAAACAACAACAATAAGAAAAAGGACAGAAACAATCAGAATAAGATAACCATAAGCTCATATTAAACAACAAAAGGTGGCATGCAAGGCATGAAATTTTAATAAACAAAAGTAAAATGGATTGAGAGAGAGAGAGAGAGAGAGAGAAAGAGAGAGAGAGAGAACAAAACCAAAAAAGTAAAATAAAATAAAAAACAGGATCTCTAGTTCTGTAGGTTGTCTGAAATATGTAAAGTACTCCTGAAATGACAAGTCACAATTAATGGTACTACAATGATAAAGTAAACCATAGATGTAGAGTGTTCAACCATCTTTTTTTTTATAACTCGGTATCTGGCTCATTGGACCAACTAATCCTAGTCCACTTGCGGGGGTCCCAATTAAAGCCAAGGCAAAGCACCGTATCAACTGGCCCCAATAAATCGTTTGCACCTAGGAGGTTTCGAACTTTAGACCTTGGAGGGAACACACACCCATGCTGCAAGCCTTGACTACCAGGCCAACCCCTTGAGGTGGATAACTAACCGCCAAACAAAGGGATTTAGAACTGTTTCAAATTGAGAAAACATATTCATATAAAATAAAATAAAATAAGAAAAGCAGACAGAGTACAACATTTCTGAACCTAATAACTTACTATTTTCAGTAATTCCTGCCTGTTAAAATCTAACATTTAGTCACGACGCACATAACATGAAATCATATTTTCAACCTCTTGTAACTTCTTATTTGATTTGGTCAAACATGTGGAAAAATATAACCAATAAATGCTAAAACAAATGCTTAAAACAAAAAGGACACCATATTCATACATTCTTAAGTTTTTTTTTTTCCTTTTTTCTTTCTTTCTGTTATTTTCTTGAAAACCAAACAGAGCTATAGTTACCACTTCCGTGAATGATAGACGACTCACAAAGATAATGCGTACATACAATACAATTACCCAACTCAAATTAAGAGAAACAACAACAAAACTTACAGCAGCATGATTTTGGGAACAAATTTCATCAGTAATTCAACAATACCCATAATTTCTCTCATTCTCAGCACCAAATCTACAAAACCCTAGCAATATGTTTTCAATTTCGGCACCGAGACTCCAAAACCCTAGTAGTTGATCGCAACGCATTGCGCAATTGATGAACATGTATGTGAAAAAAATGAAAACAAGGGATTAAATAGAGAAGAGAACATACCTGCAGAGATCGTCGAGGAGTTCTTGAGGAGGAAGACCGTTCTTCAACGGAGCGCTCGAAGATCTATGGAGACCTGACATTAGGGTTTCTATGTTTGGTTAAAAACCTAAGAAAAAAATCCTGAAGAAGTAATCCTTGATTTTGGTGGAGATGTACAAGAGTTTGCTTTATACTAATCCTGTTGAAGAAGAAGAAGAAGAAGAAGACGAGAGCTGGCTCTAGAAAGAGCTCCACTTCTTCGAGTCGATGGATTTAACGGCTGACCAAAGGGTATTGGTTTGCGTGTAGTTTTTGAGATCAACCGTACGAAAATTTGTTTGATTTATTTGTTTTTAGAAATAATTTAAGAAAATTATTTTGAGTAGAGAGTTTTAAAAAAGGTGATTGATTTGATGTATATAAGAGAGAGAGTGATTTTGAAAACAACGGTGCTAGGGACCCCCAGTGAGGGGCACCCCCAGCACCCCCAGTTTTTTTCCATTGGCCCAGAATTTTTTTTTTTTTCTTTCTTTCCAATCACCCACAGCCACGTGGGCTGGGGGTCACTGGGGGTCCGGCTGGACTGGGGGTCTGCCGCATTAATCTTTTGAAAAGTAGGTAATCAAATAAAATTTTGAGATTTTTTTTTGAAAAAGTTTGTCTAATTTGATTACTCTTAAAAATTTATTTGTAGAGAATTTTACTCAAAAAAATTTCTGAAAAACAAACCAAACAAGACGCCTTTTTATTGCAACTTGTAAACCAAACCGACTTTGGCCTTGGAAAGTAGCCATCTTAGGCCAATTTCCCTCTTTGTGCCATTTTGAACATTTTAGTCCCATTTTAGGGTGTACTTTTATCTTTATTCCCAAAGTAGGGTAAAACGGTTTTTCAAATGCCGGCTAGCTAAAACCATCGCTGCAGATAATAAACATTTTAACACACACCTACTAACAGCTTCATTGTGAGACTAAAAATAGAAAATGACTTGCTAAAAATTAGTAACTGGCACTAACACAGTGTTTAGCTACTCCATTGTTGATGCTTGTGGATCTCGTGTGGCAACATTTTTTAGTCTAAAAATTTAAAAATTATTAAAAAAATTTAAATATATATCAAAAAATTAAATATTTATTTTTCTTTCTATTTTTTGTATATTTTTTCGTAAAAAATTAAAAAATTATTCTAAACATATTAATTTTTCTTGCATTGTATTTTAACAAAAAAAAATTAAAAAGTTACTAAAAAACATGCTTCCAAACGAGGCCTAAAGTTAAAATATTTAGAGGGTTTAGTTTTAGTTTTTTGAAAATTAATTTTTAAATTTTTAAATTTTTTTAGTTTTTAGTGAATATTTTTAATAATTTTTTAACTTTTTATATATATCTTATTTAGATATATTTAAATAGTAAAATATTTGTAAAAAAAATATTTTAAAAAGGTAATAAATACTCACAAATATGAAAAATGTACTAATTTTTTATATTTTTGATATTTAGTGAATTTTTTAAATATTTTTTTTACAAAAATATTATACTTTCAACTCCGCTACGTAACTCGAAACCTAATGGGCCGAGTGACCCGAAACCATGTCTTCTTCTTTTCTCTCTTCTCTCCCCTTATCATCTTCCCAAAAATCCTTCGCTTTCTCTGAAGAACAAAACCTACAAATCTCTCATCAATGGAAACCGAAACTAAAACCAAAACCAAAACCACTCATACTCTCTCTCTACCTTTCAATCTTCTCCACTTTTCCTTGTCTTCTTTCATCTCTTCTCTCCCCCTCTCATCTTCTAAAAAATCCTTCACTTTTTCTGAAGAACAAAACCCACAAATCTCTTATCAATGGAAACCAAAACCAAAACCACTCACACTCTCTCTCTGTGTACCTTTCTTATTCTTTTATCTCCTCTCCCATTTTCATCTTTTCCAAAATCCTTCACTTTTTTTTGAATAACAAAACCCACAGATCTCTCATAAATGGAAACCAAAACCAAAACCACTCACACTCTCATTCTACGTTTCTCTCTCATCCACTTCTCACTTATTCTCCATCCCTCCACAGTTTTCACTCATCTTGATAACCATCTCATCAGTTGTGGATCAATCGCCAACACAACCGTGGATAACAGGGTATTCGTTGGTCACTTGACGAAACCTAAGTCGGTTTCTCTTCCTTCAGGTGAATCAATCTCTCTCACCAATCCAAACCCATCTTCAAATTCAACTTTACTTTACCAAACAACCAGAGTTTTCACCAAAGCTTCAAGTTACGAGTTTGAAATCAAGAAAATTGATGCTAACACTTACAGAATAGCTTCTATGGAAGGTGGGTCATTATATTTTCCAAAGAATACCCATGAATACTGAAGTTGAAATTATTTACCTCCAACTCAGATTCATATATATGAAGTAATAATTTTCACAAAAGTAACAAAACCCAGCAAGAATTTTCCTTTTCTATTCCCCATCTATTTTTTTCCTTTATCTCTCTTCCTCCTCTCTTTCTCTCTCTTGTTCTCAAACCAGTTTTAGAGAAAAGAAAAAACAAAATTCCAAAACGACGTCATTTTGGAATTTCGGGGCAATCGAGCCTTGGAAATTTTGAGTTACGAAGCTTTATTCTTATACTTTTTAAGTGTATTTATATTAATGTTTCTAACAATTTTAAACAAAAAAAAAATGCTTAAAATATTAAAAAATTCAGTAAAAATAAAAAATACAAAAAACCAAAAAATATAATTTTCTAAAAAGTGAATTCTAAAAACTGAAACTAAACATAGTAAATTTGTGTTTGGAAAGAGAGTTTGGTTTTTTTACAGTTAAATGTGATGTTTAAATAGAAAAATGAAATAATTATGAATTTAATGTGATTTTTTTATCTTATTGACTATTTTTAATTTTTTCCTTTATTATAAATTTTAATACAAAAAAAAAAACTAAAAAAAATCTTTACCAAACACCCCTTGATCCTGTCCCGCAAGGCCAGGGGACTCCGACCAGTTTTTTTTTTTAATTTTAAAAAAGCATTACAATCGATAAATCAATTTAATTCAGTTTAAGTTATCAATTTGTTTTTTTTTTTTTCAGTTATAATTTTGGTTCTACAAATTATATGTTTTTTCAAATTGGTTCGGGTTTTTATTTCAAAGTTTCGGTTACGACTTTAAATGTATCGGCTGTGACATATTTATTTATTATTTTTTTATATTAAAAAATCAAAATATAAAATGTTTAAATGACAAATTCTAATAAGAGAGTTTTTGTAATTTTCATAATCAAAGAGGGCAATTAATATTTAAGCAAATCTCAGGCCATATATTCTTAGAGGGCTTCTAAATGCCTCTATCTTTTTTCTTAGGAACCTTCACTATTTTGAACCCCCACCATCAAAATTACTCTTTTCCTAATTTTTCTTTGAACCCTTACCATAATCTCAAATATAATCTTACCCTCGCCAAAAATTTCATTTTTCAATCGACAACCTCACCCTCAACTCCAGTGACTCCTTTTACAAACCTTATATTCCTTTAGAGACCCTTCTTCAACCTCCATTCCTCACCGGCAATCGAGCATCGCCATTCTATGCCTCATCAATCCACCTCCTATGCTTTCTTCTTTTTCTACCATATATCTATCTTCCTCTATCGATCCACCCATGCGACTATCACCACCACCGCAATTACCTCTTCTGCACTTGTTCTCTCCATCTATAGTGAAAAACAATGGTGACTCCCTTACTCACACCCTCTCCATCATCGACGGTAAATACGATTTGTGGGCTCCGACTCTCTATCTTGCAGCTAATGAATCTGTTTGAATTGGTTTGATGGTTTGTTTATTTGCTATGTTGGGTTGTTTGTTGCAATGACTAATGAACAAACTAGGTTTTTATGTTTAAAATTGAGTAACCGAACAAATCCTTTATGTTCAGCATTGTGTTACCAAACTAAAAGTATTCATTCAGAACTGTGTTGCCGAATATTCAGGATTTACTCATCATTGTGTTGTCGAACTCATTATACCACTGTGAACTCTCTAGCCATTGTGCTGCATTTGATTGTTTTCCTGATTTTCGACCTACCATACATTTTTATATGTTTTGAATGAACTATTATATATCTATATTATATATATAACCAAATATAGTTATTTGGTCAAAAGCCTTCAAATGTTTATTCCTAAATTCTCATAATTTTGAAACTCTCTCTTTCCTACGTGGCAACCTTCTTTGACTGCCTTTCATGTTTTCTATTTTTCTTCATTTTCTATTTGTTTGATTAATTATAATTAAAATTAATTTCATTACTTATGGATAAAGATTTGAATTTCAAAATTTCTCCATATAGATAAACATATAAAAACTACAAATTAATTTTATAGTCTACAGATAAAAATAAAAATTTAAAAATTAATTTAAAAAAATTAATTTCATAACTTATAGATAATTTAAAATTTCTTCCTATAAATAAACAAATAAGAGTTGATAAATAACTTATAAAAATTAATTTCATGGCCTACAAATAAAGATAAAGATTAAATAATTATTTTTTTTTAAACAAAATTACTCATTTTTTCGTCCCTTCATTTCGTACTTTAATTAATTTCATTATAGATAAACATATAAAAATTCATAAATAATTTATGAAAATTTATTTCATGACCAATAGATAAAGATAAAAATTTAAAAATTATTTAAAAAAATAATTTCATGACTTATAGATAAATAAACATATGAAAAATGATGAATAATTTATAAACATTAATTTCGTGGCCTACAAATAAAGATAAAGATTAAATAATTGATTTACAAAAAAAGTAAAACAATAAAATTTAGATAAAGATATGATTTGTTAATCTATATATCTATCAAAAACATATATATCTAAATCTTTATTTTCATTTGCTCATATTTTTTTTCTCCTATCACATATTATCTTTTTTTATTTTAAATTTTTTATCTTATGAAATGTCTTTATCTATAACTTCTTATCTCCTATTAAATTCTTAACCTTCTTTTGATAATTTTTATTATTCCTCATTATCTACCAATTGATAAAGACCAAATGTAGTTGTTTTGTTAAAAGCCTCCAAATATTTATTCCTAAATTCTCATAATTTTGAAACTCTCTCTTTCCTACGTGGCAACCTTTTTTGACTGCCTTTCATGTTTTCTATTTTTCTTCATTTTCTATTTGTTTGATTAATTATAATTAAAATTAATTTCATTGCTTATAGATAAATATTTGAATTTCAAAATTCTCCATATAGATAAACATATAAAAACTAAAAAATAATTTTGTAGTCTACAGATAAAGATAAAAATTAAAAAATCCGTGACTACTTTCTACCATTGTCTTCCGCCGCCACTTGCCACCACTTACCATTTCTCACTTTTTTTTATATTTTTAAATTTTTTTAAACATTTTGTCAATTGCCAAACGCATTTGTAGTTTATGTTTTTCTAAAAATAAATAAAAAATAAACAAAAACCAGTTTATAAATTTTTTGTAAATATAAACTGAAAACGTAAATGTTACCAAGCGCACCCTTAACAACCCTCTATTTTTAATTTACTCTTTTATATACAAGAGAACAAAATAACAAATTAAATGATAGCCACCACTAACAAACAAATTGTTTGCTATATACCAAGGATCAAATGATAATTTCACCTAGTTACATGTGAAAACCAGGCAAAAATAACAAATTCCACAAAAACAGTTGAGACAAATTTTATGACACATAAGAAGTGGCAACTTATTTTAATTTTATAGAACGAGGGTGAGGCTCCTCTCTTTCTCTAAGAGATTTTCGATAATGCTTTGACGGTTCTTTGGTGACATTTTGGAGATTTTTTTTATATTTTTAAAGTGTAGACCTACAGTTTTAGAATATAGATCTGGACTTTTTATGTTTGAAATAGGAGTTTTGAGAGTTTTCTCCTCCAATTTTAGCATAGATTTTTGATTTTTTAACACCCACAATGATTCCCTCGTCTCTCAACCCGTTTCCCATATCATTGTGCATGTCCTTTATTCTCCAGCGGCAGTGGTGGTGGAGTTAGACAGCAGCGACGAGGACGATGTCAATGGGGATGGCGAACTTTCAAGCAGATCTTGTTTTTCAGACCACAGTTTTGAGCAGATCGGTTATTTTTCTAAACCGTAACTATTTTTTTAAAGGATTTATTTTTTTTGTTGTTTGTTTTTGTTTGTTTTTTGTTTTGCTATTTGGTTGAGATGATCTTTAGAATATTGATTTTGTACTGCTTTTATCTTTTGTTAATATAACGTTTTCCATATTCTTAAAAAAAAACTTACAGTATTTTAATTTTAGGAGGAAAATAGATGAGCCGTAAATAACACAACAGAAAATTCGCAAAGCGGGGGAAAAGAGAATACAAGCCTCAACACTCAATTATAGTACATTGATAAATGAATAAATCATGCCCTCATAATAAATAATTTATTAAATAAATCATTAATATAATTAATAATTTTTAATAATATAAAAATGTATTTTCATATACAATTTTGATAATTTTATTATTACATATAAATTTTTTTTTTCATGTTTATTTTGTTAACTTAAATTTTTTAACAGAGAGTAGTAGTAATTTCTAAAACAGATGTATTTCATATTTTGTGGGTGGTTGAAAAGTTGTTATTTTAGTTTTTAGTTATTTTTAGGTTAAATTTTTGTGTTTAAGAAAATGATTAGATTTTTTTTTTAATTTTTTTTTTATGATTGAATGTGATATTAAGAGAGAAGTAAAATGATTACGAATTTAATGTGATATGTTATCTTATTAACTATTTCAATCTATTTTATTATTTTGTAAATTTTAAAATCCTCAGTCTTAGTTTAACTACTCATAACGTGAGGGAAAAGGAACAGGGGTCCCTACTGTGCTCAAAAGCACAGCAGTAACTGTGGTGTCTTTGTTTGAGGCGTATTATGATTTTATTTTTATGATCTAAACCGTTCATATTGTAGGGTTTGTTGAGTACTTCATGCCTATCAAAAATTATATTAATCGGATATCAATAACTATATGATCGAATTGCATATTGTTTATGCTATTTCTCAAAAGAAAAACTTATTATTTATTTTTTTGGTTATCGATCATATAGTTGTTGATATCCGATTAACATGATTTTTGATAGACATAAAGTACTCAACAAACCCTACAAAATAGACGGTTTGGATCACAAAAATAAGATCATAATACACATCAAATGAAGGTACTTCAGTCACAGTGACTGTAATACCTCTGTTTGAGATGTATTATGATTTTATTTTTATGATCTAAACCGTCTATTTGGTAGGGTTTGTTACAAAATTAAATTGGAGTCATAGAATCAAAAAAAAAAAAAAAAAAAAAAAAAAAAAAAAAAAAAAAAAAAAAAAAAAAGAAAGAAAGAAAAGAAAAGAAAAGAAGGGTCTAAACATTTCTGTTATTATAATTTATCTAAAATCAAAACATTCATGTTTCACAACTAAGGAAGAATTTTACATAATTAAAAAAAAAAATAAAAAAAAAAATTCAATTTTTCACCGGCGGCGATCGTCGAAATGGTAATTCGACTTCTGCAATCGGTTTCATGGGTTTTGGGCATTCCAATACTTGGATCAGAGATGTTTTCTCGCTGTGAAATTACACGTTTTTCTTGGCACTGGGCGATTCGACGGAGTCCTGAACGATTTCGAAACCTGCACAAATTCGGAATTCAACCTGCGAACTATGTCCTGTTTTCAAATTGGTGCACCAATGGAGTAAAATAGCTCTCTCTCTCTCTCTCTCAGCTGTGAGTGTAAATGCAAGTTTTTAGTAATTTTACATATGAATTCCTAGATAGCTTGATGATTAAGAAAAACTAATTAGCAATTTTGAGTGATTTGTTGAATAAGAAAAAAGCTTCATTCAACAGTTATTGAGTGTAAAATTTAGAAGAGCAATGCTATACAAACAAAATAATTCCTACATAATTATGTGGTTCACTTCAAAACAAAACATGATAAATTTATTTACAATAATTACCACATCATTCTTGTGAGGGTTTTTTGTTTGGATTTTATGTATGAACATAATTTGCAATGTAGAATGTTATTCTTAGAAAGGGAAAAAAATGTCTATATAATAGAATAAAGGGTAAATTGTACTGACCTCCCTCCTATGAGATTCGGAGAAAATATAGTAGGCTCCATAGTTTTAACATAATTATGTTACAATTCTCTTTCAGTAAGGCTTAATGGACCGAAACTAATGGAGATGGTGTAAAGATAATAGAATAAATAAGGAATAATATATATTTTAGTATAAAAGAAATAACAATATCATTTCTTTCCATGCATATGAGCATATGACTAACCAATTATTGATGAAAAGGGAGTTAAGTGCTATGCGAATTAAAACCTGAAGGGAACCTAGTGTAATTATGCCAAAATTGTGGGGCTTGTTTATTTTCTCCAAACCCTAGGGGAAGTCGCTGTAATTTACACTGAAATAAATAGACAGAACAGATATATCTATATATCTGTCACTGTCTAAAGAATGCACTGTTGTAAGTTTTTTTATTTTCATATAAATTCGAAAGTTCTATTTGAGAAATTGTTTGACCTTGCAAACTGAAAACTCTGTGTTTGTATATATATCTGTGAGTTGCACGCTCTTGCCTGTTTGTATAGCCATGCCAAACTGTGAATGGTGGGCTGTTTAACCTTGGCTTGAAAATTTGTTGAACATAAAAATGTAGTCAAGTCTCCAACAAGCTTTGATTGTGCAAATCACTAGTCAAGCTTGGAGATGCTTGGTGTTTTTGTTGGATAACTTTTGGGAGAGGTATTAGTTCAAACCTCTGCATTTGCATTTAGTCCCTAGTTGCATTATTTTTCTCTTGTTGACATTATTCCTTCTCTCTATGTTCACCACGTGCAAAATGGGGTTACATGTTATGAAGGGTGTTCGATAGCTTGATATATTGGGCCCATTCCTTAACAACTTAAGCTTTTGAGACAATTGATGATATAACAGTTTTTCTATAGGATTAAGAGTGCTTATTAGCTTATTCAGCCAAGTTCAATTAGTTATGTCACCAACTGAATCTTGAATGAGCTTTTAGGGTGCCAAATAGGAGCCAAAGCTTGAGCAGTATGGTTGTGTTACAGAACCATATGTTTATGTCTATTAATACTTTGGAAAATACAACCATTTTGCCCTGAATTTGGTGTGAGACAGCGAGGCCTGTTTTTTAGGGGGAATCTCAATCTATGAAACACAGAGAATTGCTATATTCACTGCGCCTGTGGCTGTTCGAATTGACTGTTGTTTACTTATACATAGCAAAAAATGTGGGTTCTTTTAATCCACAATGGTGTTATTTAATAAATTAATTTAAGCTGTTCAACAATTTTTTGAAGAAAAGTGGCAGAAACTGGCTAGGTAATTCAGAAGAAAAACTAAGTTAGTTTTCCATTTGTCGTAATACTAGAAGCAGACAAGATTTGTTTTCTCAAAAATTAAAATCTGAACGTATAAATTGGACGTAATTGTTTTCAATTAGAGAATTGGTATCAAACTTGTATAATGTTTTAACTGTTTTCTCTTTCTATCTCTCTATACACTCCACTGCTGCTTCGTGAGCAATACTGTAAATTGTGTTTCAATTTCTGTTTATTGATTTCATGTTTATTGGCAGTCATCTACGTCAATCAGAGAGATTCTCATGGAGGAAAAATCAGGGTTCTTTTGGTGTTTTGCAATTTGGTGAAGTTTCAAGGACTGAAGCTGAAAAAGACGTACAATCTCGAAATTGTTGCACAGATGGAGCAACAACTCTCTCTTTCTTTCTCTCCCACAAACACACATCATAGATTATAGATTAAAATATTCATAGATGTTGTGTTTTAAGAAATTCTGTTGTGAAAATAGGAAACTTCTCTGGTTAATCTTGCTTTTCTTAAATTCAAAGCTCTATTTAAGATGTGTAATTTAAGAAACATGGTTAAGCTCTATAGATGTGTATTTTAAGAGATTCTGTTGTGAAAATAGCGCGAAGCTCTATTTAAGATGCGTGTTAAGAAACATGTGAAAATAGAACTTGTTTTTCTTTGTTCTTTTGTACCATGTTTCACCTAGCATTACTAGAAAACGTTAATACCTTAGCAATTTAGTTTTGGAACACGTATTTCGAAATATGGTACACTTTCATTCCAAAAAGGTGAATTTAGTGATTTAATGTGATCCCCAAAATTTTCTCCTTATTTTCTTTAAGTTTCTTTTAGGATGAAAACATATATATAATGAACTAAAATGTAAGAACAATGGAGTTCTGTTAGAACCAAATATAAGAAATGAGCCACAATATGCATAGAAATGTATAAGAAAAATTGCTCTAACAATTAGAGGCACCTTTCTAATAGTGTTATACTAGTCTACCCCTATTGTACCACGTTTTAGAGCATGTGGCATACCATGTTCCGATTCTTGTTCCTTGTACCAAAACGATCTGTGTTCCAGGTAACATAGTTTCCGCCTCACAAATTGGTGTCTGGGTGCATGTCCATATACATGTGCATACAGATATATTGGTGATTGTACATATTTTTCTAGAAATTAAATTGTGAAAGAGAGAGGACTCAAGTAGCTTGGCGTGTTTTTTGTAGATTTGATGCTCGATAAACTTTGGTCTCTCCTCTCTGTGCACTTTCTTTGGAGATAATGTTTTGAAATAAAGAAGATTGTTGTAATTACTATGATAGTGGCCCTTGAAGAATTTATTACTGTAATTTTATCATACTGGACCAGAAATGAGGTTTGTTATAACCAAATTGATGGTCTTTTAATGAATAAATTTAAGATGTTAGCAGATGTGCGAAGAAGACGGAAGAAATTGAATTCTGCTTGTTTTACTTTACCTGCCACGTTTTCAAAGAAAAAAAACTAGTTAGTTTTAACCTCTAATTTAAATCTCAGAAACAAACAAGAAAAATTCGAGCGTTATGACTGACACCCAACTATAGTTTTTTAAGTGTTTTTGTTCTCAAGCCAATTATATTCTTGTCATTGTACACTTTGCCTTAACCTAACCATGGGCGTAGTTAACTAAGGTAATCTCAGCCCCACAACAGCCTCTTTATAAGCAAGCTCTCGCTGTTAAAGCCTTCAATTTTTCTATTTCATATTCTTGGCCCCTGATTTGAGCTTTAGTGGTTGAAATGGCAAGCATGAGGGCTTCACATCTGGGCAAGAGATCCAGTGGCAGTGGTGATCCACATGAGGATTGTGGAAAGTATACGAGGTACACTGCTGAGCAGGTTGAACTTCTTGAGAAAGTGTATGCAGAGTGTCCAAAGCCAAACTTATCTCACCAGCAGCAAATGATCTGCGATTATCCAATCCTTTCAAACCTTGAGCCTAAGCAGATCAAAATCTGGTTTCAGAACCGCAGGTGTAGTTTTTTGGTTGGAAAAGATTGATTAGTTTTTTGTCGTTGAAGTCGATTCAACATGTTGGTTTACTACTAGCCTTTGATATGCGTAGAAATTTTGGTGAGAAACAAATTCAGCAAATGATCTGCTTTTATTTTTATTCTTATTATAGATGCTTGACGTTGCATCTGTGTTGATTAATAGGCCCTGTCTACTTGGTTTGCTGCAAATTTAAATTCTTTCTTACTTTCTGAAAAGATAAGTAATGGCGTCATGGTTTCTAGACAATTTATGTCAATTCAAATCCTGTTTTGTAAAATTTGATTATTTTGTTTAAAGATCATTGTATGTGTTCCTTTTCCATGGACCCTGAATTCATCCGATGGAAAAATTTGCCCCATGGTAATTGCAGCCATAATTCAATTAGCTATCAGATGAAGGGACTGATGTGTAATTGCTTTTTGTATCTCGTAACATATGGGGAGTTGGTTTTGAGCTAGCCACTAGAGCATGAAATTGACTGATTCAGTGTGTTCTCTTTCACACAATTCTTGTCTGAGCAAGTTCTGGTTCCTATTCTTTTGATTTGGTATTCTGAATTTGAGAGTTCTATTTATGGTTTGTCTTGTTTGCGATTAAAGTTTAATTCTGAAGTTGAAAGAAAGACTAATTTTCCTTCTCCTTCCTTGCAGGTGCCGTGAGAGGCAGAAAAAGGAGGCTATCAACTTTCAATTGTTGAACAGGAAGTTGACTGCAGTAAACAAGCTACTGACGGAAGAGAATGATCGCCTTCAGAAACAGGTCTCACATTTAGTATGTGAAAATGAGTATATACACCAGCAACTGAAAAATGTGCGTTCAAACCATTGCAGGCATCAATCGTTAATATTTTGGAATATTTATAATTATTACCTTAATTTTCTTTTTATTTTAGTTTTCCCCAGGATTTAATAGCGTCAGAATTTACTCACTTACCTATTTGGTCTGCTAAATCATATTATCTTTTCTTTTTTTTTTTTTTTTGGTTTTAGATTTTCCCCAGGATTTAATAGTGTCAGAATTTACTGACTTACCTATTTGGTCTGCTAAATCATATTATTACTATTATTGTTATTATTTTGTTGGTGTGAATTCATTAACTTATTTTTTGGGAGTAAATGAGTCAACTTTAGCCTATAACCCGTTGGTAAACCTGACTAAATGTCCATACTCATCTGAAAATAATTTAAATACTGACAGATTTTTTTTTATTGGCTCCTAAAATATATTTTCTAAATATTCTTTTGGAGATTTAATTTTTAGTTTATAGTGTTTTTAGTGAAAATTAAAAAACAAGAGCTCTTTGATTTGGGGGAAATAACACTTTTTGGTAGAAGTCATCCTTTTCTGCACCCACATGGATCATGGTGTGTTCATATCCTTGTATGTCACCTCATGGTTACATCACCATGTATCAAACATGCTATCTCGTACATATAATCATAGAACATCTACATATATGGATTGATGGATCATTCTTTATCTACACATAAAAACATGGGGTAATTGACATAGATGTTCAGTTTTTAGCAAGAAACCTGTACATTTATATATTGGTGCTAGTATGCATTTGAAGTAGTCTCGTTTGCTTGATTGATCTGTCAATTGCAATGCCAGAATATTGAAGCTAAATAATTTCTTTGATGCAGTGTGCTTATCAAGTATCACTCTTCCCATATGCTGTATATTGTGGGTAAAGGTATGAGACGTGGTCGGTCCTAGACCTTTCGGAAATCATGGTAGATACTAAGATGGTGCAAGACCATTAGAGATGGAAAGGGAGAGAGATGAGGCAGAGCCAACTCACTTTCATAGGTTGTGCAAAGTAGGTGTGATACACCTTATGAGAAAGCAGTGGGTAGGTATGTTACATTTCCCAAGATCTTGAGTATATTTTCGACCATTGATAATCTCATGGATGGAAGAAGGGGGAAACATTATTTATCTTGAGTATATTTTCGACCATTGATAATCTCATGGGTTACCCGTGGTGCTGAATGTGTAAGCAAGAAGGGGGAAACATTATTTACGTTCTCTTTCATTGTCTAGTTGCTAGAGAGCTATGGAGTTTGATTTGCTTGCCGTTTGGTGTTGTTTGGGTGGAGGATTGAGACTCAAAGAAAGACACATCCATAGAGATAAACCATTTCTGAGAGGGTGGATGATAACACTTGTAGCCCTTTTGTGTGGCAGAGTAACCCAGGAAGACACACTGAAGAGACCTAGGATCCAACTTACCACGGGTAGGAGAATGATTATGAACAAAGTACGCACACCCAAAGGTTTTGGGAGGAATGGAGAAACCAGAAGAGTGGGATCCTAACAAAACTTGAAGAGGAGTATGTTTGTTGAGAACTTGGGTAGGTAGATGATTGATGAGGGCAGCAGTGAGAACAGCTTCCCCACAATATGATCTAGGAACACGCATTTCAAAGGACAGACAATGCGCAATATCAAGAAAATGGCGGTTTTTACGCTCTGCAACACCATTCTGTTGAGAGGTATTAGTACAAGAAGTTTGGTGAATAAGACCATGAGTGGAAAAATATTTGGCAAGGCTAGAGTCAATGTATTCCCCCCCATTATCAGAACGCAGAATTTTGACAACCGCCTCAAACTGAGTGCAAATCATTTTATGAAAATTTTGAAACGTAGAAAAAACCTCACATTTGTCCTTCATAAGATACACGCAGGTGGTTCTAGAACAATCATCAATAAAAAGTGACAAACCATCATTGACCCTTTAAAGACACAAAATGAGAGGGACCCCATGCATCAGAATGAATCAATGAAAAATGAACTAAACTTTTATGAATAGAAGGAGCAAAAGAAGCTTTGTTTTGTGTTCCAAGTTGACACGACTCACAGTGAAACTCATAAATATTATTTTTCAAAAAAATTGAAGGAAAACGATGCTTAAGTAACAAAAAAGATGGATGTCCAAGACGACGGTGCCACAGCCATAAGTCTTCCTTAGTAGATGGTAATTGAATAGATGAATGAGCCAGCTTGTCTGCTTGATCTAAGATATAGAGACCATTCTCGTTTCTACCACTGCCAATCATTTTTCTCGTGATAAGGTCTTGAAACAGACAATGATCGGGAAAAAAAGTCACACTACAATTTAAGTCCCGAGTAATACGACTCAAAGATAAAAGGTTAACACTAAAATTAGGAACATGTAGTACATAAGACAAAGGAAGGGAAGCAATGACATGAATTAAACCTTTCTCAGACACAGAAGAAATGGTACCATCAGTAATTCAAACTTTATCCTGTCCTAAAGAAGGGGTATATGTGGAGAACAAATCAAAAGACCTAGACATATGGTCGGAAGCACCATAATCGATAATCTAAGGCAACCCATTTGATGAGATAGGAAAACGCTTGTAGAAGAAGCTAAGTTACTTGAATGGGCAAAGTTACCTGAAGATGAACTAGATGCCCAATGGTTTAGCATGTGGCGAAGAACAACCTCAAACTCAGAAGTAAAAACCCAGAGATATCAGCAGAAGAAACAACTAGAGCGGGGGACTGTGGCTTAATTGTATCAAAATAATGGGCTTGGGCATTGGGCCCTCGGCCTCTAGACTGACCAGAGCGACCCCCTCAAGAACCAGAACGATCTCCACGACCCCCAAATGGCGGCCCATGCAACTTCCAACAAGTCTCATGGGTGTGGCGAGGGCGACGACAATAGTAATAGAAGAGGTTATCCTTCTCAGAAGAAGGACGGGAACCACGATCCCTATCTCGAGAGGATACAGAAACCAGGGCAGATTGATCAGAAGATGCAGACGGAAGCATAGCAGAACGATGACTCTTCTCATTCTGCACATAAGCAAACGCTTCTTGGAGAGAAGGAAGCACATCCATACCAAGCACACGACTTCTAACAGGATTGAACTCCACATTCAGACCTTCCAAAAACTTGAAGACCCGCACTTGTTTAACAAATTTCCGGTACCCAGCAGAATCAGTGGGACAGACAGTCTTGTAGTTCTGAAGATGATCAAGTCTCTTCCACCCAATGCTAAGGAAAGTAAATACTGGAGGATAGTCATCTCACCCTGGATGGACCGGTCAGTGGAGCATTGCAATTCAAAAGTTTGTGAAAAATTGCCTTTTCGGGAATATATAGTGGCCATAGCCTCTCAAATATCTTGTGCTGTGTCCATAGACAAAGTATCCCTCACCAATCTCTGGAACCATGGAATGTATCAACCAGCGGATGATAAGAAAATTAGTAGTCTCCCACTGATCATAACTCGGATCTGTGGTACTGGGGACCTGAACATGCCCATCAACATATCCCAGCTTCCCTTTGCTCTTCAAAAAAATAGTCAAATTCTGCGACCATGCTAGATAATTCTGACCATTAAAGAGAGAGGTGGTGATTTTCTGGATCGGGTTGAGGGAATCAGTCATAGTAGTAGGCAAAACAGGACTCGCATCCTGAGGAGCAGACTACGAAGTAGTAGACTCATTAGTCAATTCTGCCATGAATACTCTACCACGGAACCCTCACAATAAACACTGGTCTAATCATAAACCTAGAAGATGGGAGAACATACCAAACAGAACAAAAAGAATTTAAGAGAACATTTTTTTTTTTAAGAAGAAGATAGAAAATAGAGAGAAGAGAATTACATAATAGAGACTTAGCACCAATGGTCATAGAATAATGACTTCAATGCAACCTAGACCCAAGAGAGAGCTGACTGAACCAGAGAGAAGACAGACAAAGAGATGAGAGCCGACTGAACTAGAGCTCCTGAGAGACTATCAGCAACCTGAGGAGGGAGGAAAACACCCCCGATTGAACCTCCAAGCCTGCCGATAGACTTGGGTTGGGAAAATGGAGGCTTCAACGAGCCCTAGGGTGCTGTCGAAGCCCTAGGAGGCGAGCTATCATCCCTTATTTATATGTAACATTCAAAATATATCAATATAAATCAATCAATAATACAATTCTCTATTTCTCTTTATACATTAAATTTCTACAAAAATAATATAGCTTATTATTTCCAACTAGTTGAGACTTGAGACAAGGCTTAGAGACAAAGATGAAGAGAACAATCAATAGGCTGATTACCCGTTGAAATTCAACATAATCCCATCACATCATTAACATACATATCTGTTAAAATCCACCTACTCTCTGAAGCTTGAGTAACAGCTTAGGGTATGATGAGCTATCATCCCTTATTTATAAATAAAGATTAGGGTTTACAAGGTAGACAATTACAATCCCTGAGTGCATAAAACAATGATTACAGACTCTTTCGGCTAATATAATATGCTAAGACTTTCGGTGATTATAATATGCCAACATCAACGAGCCCTAGGGTGCTGTCGAAGCCCTAGGAGGCTGCGACTAGGGCTGTCGAAGCTCTAAGAGGATGCGGCTAGGATTGTCGGAGCCCGAGGAGGCTGCGACTGCTGCTGGCGGCTAGTGTGGTGGGGACTACGGCTGGTGTGGTGGTGTGATGGTGGCTGAATCCATAATGAAAGACAGCAAAGTTTATGTCAGGGACAAGGATAGAAAAAAAGTTACTTGGGTACAAGAGACCAATTCGGATTCTCCACTGCTATCTTCTCTTTTTGATGAGTGCCCAAAATTCTTTTCTTCTGATGAAACTCTAGGTAACTCTATTCTTTCTGATCTAGATGTTCCCATTGCTAAAAGGAAGGGGTTAGGTCTTGCCCTATTTCTCATTTTGTCTCCTACACTAATTTGTCTTCTTCCTATAAAGCTTTTCTATCTAAGGTTTCTTTTGTGAGTCTTCCTTTTAATTTTCAGAATGCTCTTTTTACTCCTGAGTGGAAGCATGCCATGATGGAGGAGATGAGAGCCCTTGCTAAAATGGCACTTGAGAATTGGCTGAGTTACCTAAGGGCAAACATCCTGTTGGATGTAAGTGGGTGTACACCATAAAGCACAAAGCCGATGGTTCAATTGAACGTTACAAGGCAAGATTGGTGGCCAAGGGTTTTACGCAGACTTATGAAGTAGACTACCAAGAGACATTTGCTCCTGTTGCTAAGATAAACTTTGTCAGAGTCCTTCTCTCTTTTGCCTTTAATCTCGACTGGTCTCTCCATCAATTTGATATGAAGAATGCTTTCCTTCATGGAGATTTGGAAGAAGTGTACATGGACATTCCCTCAGGCTTTGAGGATGTTAAAACCAAAGGAAAAATGTGCCAACTACACAAGTCACTTTATGGATTCAAACAGTCTCCTAGGGCTTGGTTTGAGAGGTTTACTTAGGCAATGTTGCGATATGGTTTCAAACAGAGTCAAGCTGATCATACTTTGTTCGTGAAACACTCCTTACATGGTATGACGACAACTCTTATTGTTTATGTGGATGATATTATACTTGCAGGGGATTATGTTGAGGAGGTTCCTCGATTAAAGGAGTATTTGGCCAATGAGTTTGAAATCAAAGCCTTAGACAGCTTGAAGTACTTTCTAGGTATTAAGGTTGCTCGGTCCAGAGATGGCATCCTTATAAGTCAAAGAAAGTATGTGCTTGATTTGCTAAAAGAAACTTGAATGCTTGGAAGTAAAGCATGTGATACACCACTAGAGCCTGGACTGAATCTTAGTGAGGATCAAAGAGGCAAGCTTGTAGACGTGGGGAGATATCAGATGCTAGTGGGTAAGCTTATCTACTTATCCCATTTGCGTCCTAACATTACTGTTATAGTGAGTATGGTTAGTCAGTTTATGCATGCTCCACGTGCAATTATACGAATTCTGAGGTACTTAAAGCCTTCTTCGGGAAAGGGTCTCTATTTCTCAAAACATGGTCATCTTAGTGTGGAGGCATATACAGATGCTGATTGGGCTGGATTAGTCACTGATAGAAGGTCAACCTCTCGCTATTGTACCTTTGTTGGAGGAAATCTAGTTACTTGGAGAAGCAAGAAACATAATGTAGTTGCGAGGTCTAGTGTAGAGGCTGAATTTAGAGCTATGGCTCAGGGTGTGTGTGAGCTATTATGGATTAGACTATTTTTGAGGGATTTGGGGATTCATCAGACAGATTCTATGAGGCTATATTGTGACAATATGGCAGCCATCAATATAGCTCACAATCCACTTCAGCATGACAGGACCAAGTATGTATGTGGAGATTGATAGGCATTTTATCAAGGAAAAGCTCACTAGTGGCATTATATGTACACCATTTGTGAGGTCTGGGGACCAACTGGCTGATGTTCTCACCAAAGGATTAGGGAATAAACCATTCCATGACATTCTTAACAAGTTGGGCATGAGAGATATCTTTGCACCAGCTTGAGTGAGAGTGTTAGAATGTGTAAGAATATTTTCTATTTTATTCTTATATATATTCAGATCCTTATTTTATGCCTTAGGGCATCCTGTAATTATGGTGATGATTTAATATAAAGAGGGATGAGATACCAGGAGCTTCTATTTGCACACACCCATTCCCCTCTTTACACATTTTTTTTGATAAATAATTGGTTCGGAAGTAGAATTCTGAAAATAAACAATTGGTTCGGAAGTTGCATTCCGAAAATAAACAACTTGCTCGGAAGTAGAGTTCCGAATTTTTTTTATTTTTTCGACATTCAACTTCCGAATGTGTTTATTTAATGTCTATAATAGTAATTTCACTTGAAAATAAAATTATAATAAAAATAATTTTTATTAAGTGTGTGTAAAGAGGGGAATAGAGATGTGCAAATAGAAGCTCCCTGAGATGCCACTCATATCTCTAACTTTTCTTTACTCAAAACTGGCAATGCCTTTCTCTGTTGGATAGCTTCTAGCGAGTTGGGAATTCTTTCTGCCCAAAGGAGTCAGAAATGAAGCTGTGCCCAACTGTGGCATTGTGTATTTGTTGGACTATTCAGAGAGAACCTAATAGGGGAACTTTTGAGGATATTGAGCTTTCCTTGTGTAGTCTGAAAGGATCTTTTCTTCTCTCTCTATATTTTTGTTTACGAGAGGATTGCCCTTTCTATGTTTCTTCCTTTATGTAGTTTATAGGTGATATGTGCTTGCTTCTGAATGTATAGCTTTTGGATTGCCTGAAGCCGTTTTTGCTAATCTACTCTTATTGATAAAAAAATTTGTTTGTTGCAAATTTAAAGCCAAATGTTTGTTGTATATTTGATATTTCATGGTTAATTAAGAAAATTATCTACAGTTGAAGACATCGAATAGTGTCTGATGAAGACTCAAATTTGAAATGTATCGTGAAGAATTTACAAATAAGCAAATCAGATAAGTTTTCATATGTTTTGCATATTTTCTTCATATCTTCGGTTTTTTGAAAGCAAATATGACATTTTTGTTCTCTTTTGTTGGAGCTCAGCCAATTTCTAGAAACATGATGATGGGTGACATTCTCAACCCTTGAAGTATACAAGGGCCAATCATTGGTTGAAATGTGCTTTACAGTTGCCTTAAACATGCTATTTCTCTGTTTTCGGTCCTTTTAATCAAAATCATTATTATTTCCTCTTATACAAAGTAGCTCTTTAAAATGTTTCTTCTAAAAATTTGAAATCTTTATGATTTTCACAGAAACCACATAATCTTGTAAATCAATTTCAGGGAAAATACAAAATAATGATGCATTTCTGTTTTTGGAGATGTTAAATGCATTGTTGAGATGGAGTAACTCACGAAGTTCTTCCAAAGCTTTATCACATTTTTTAATCTGATGATGACAATTTTTTGGTGCAGAAATCTCCAGCTACTACTGACACAAGCTGTGGATCTTCAGTTAACTCTCCTCAACTTTCTTTGAGGGCTGCTAATGATCCCACAGGGTAATCTTGAATGCCTTCAAATCAAACCAATAAAACCCATCCTAGGTGCCTGTAGGTATAAATTTTTGCTGCGGAAAAATTAATTTGTTCTCCTTTCCATTTTACAGAATTCTCTCGGTGGCTGAAGAAATTATGGCAGAATTCCTTTCAAAAGCTATAGGAACTGCCATTGATTGGGTCCGAATTCCGGGCATGAAGGTCTAGATTGTTGTTTTTACACAGCCAATTTAATTATAATTGTTGTATTTAAATAACCAATTGCTAATTATATTGTCTGTGTGTACAAATATGCATATTTGTTCTTTTGTTCCATTATGAGTTCTCTTTTTAATGATTTAATTATTTGTTTGCTTGGTCTGTGTTTGGCACCAGCCTGGCCCAGATCCGGTTGGAACTGTTTACATTTCACACAATTGCACTGGAGTTGCTGCCCGAGCTTGTGGTTTAGTATCTCTGGAACCTACATCGGTATGATTTTGTCCTGCATAATTGCTACCATTTATAGGTTGCAATTGTATTCAATTATGAGGACAAACATTAGTTCATGTTTTTAGTTGCATTCACTTTGATTGATAAATTATGCATTGCTACTGTGAATAGGAGAAATTCAACAAATAGGCCAAGGTGAACTTACAAATTGTCTTCATGAATTCTTGATATTCTTGTAATTTTCTCTTCTACTTGTTTATTATTTCATTGATAACTGTATTCCACTTTTGATTCTTTGATAGATACTGGAGATCCTAAAAGACTGGTCATCTTGGTTTCAAGATTGTCGAAACCTAGAAGTCTTTGCCAAGTTTCCAGCTGGAAATGGGGGGACAATTGAACTGATCTACACACAAGTGAGCAAAATTAGTAATATATTAAAATTTACTTCTCACCAAAGGTTCTTACAGCGCCACCGTTATAGATATTAGGTTGCATTCTTATGTAATTATCATTATATAATTATTGTTATGTTTCTTGTTGTTATGTTGGTGGTCAATATTGTTCTATTTCTATTGTTAGTTTTGTTGTTATTATTACTACTATTTTTATGATTATTGTTATTAATGTATAAGATGCTTATAATTGCGTTCAGTTTTATGCTCTTACAACGCTGGTTCCTGCACGTGACTTCTGGACATTAAGATATACTTCAACTTTCGAGGATGGCAGCATTGTGGTATGGTCCGACTTGCCATTATGATTTCATATTAAGTAAAATTTAGAATGAAACTTAAGCTTTGTGAGGATGCATGGTTTTATAGTCTCTTTATTGCTTCTCAACTCATCATTTGGCTTTTAATCGTGAATGTCATATGCAAATAGCTAGGTTTTTAGTGTTCCTGTATAATTTACTGAGTTGGAACTGGAAATATACGGTGGTCCTGATTGAAAAGGCATGGATCAGGCGGGCGGAGGCACATAAGGCCCCGCCGAG